TTTTTTTTTTTTTTCGATTGAAAGCTCTTCGTTTTTTAATAAAACATTTATAACGAATGTTCACGAGGTTTCAAATTCAAAATCTCTAGAAACTATATACGATAAGATCTCTCCGAGACGATCGAAGAATATCCAAGAATTTTTCAACCACTCCAGTTGAGGAGATACGAAAATACACGATTCCGTGAAACGTGCTAACTTCATTCACGAAACTGTCGAGAAGATTTAAGTCGTTTCCCCTCTTCTCGAGCCCTTTATCCGCGACAAGGATAAACTCGACGTCGCTCGTTCACGAGACGTATCTCTTAATGAATATTAATGATCGAACAGATGTCACGGGTAAATCCACTCGTGTCGGGATAGTAGACAGAGCGCAGCGTGCACGAGGTAAGCTGCACAACTAGAATATAATAAACGATCGTGGAAATGAGGGTGAACGTGGCGAGAGAGAGAGAGAGAGAGAGAGAGAAATAAAAGAGAAAGAGAGAGAGAGAGATCGTCTTAGAAGGGATGATCGTATCTTCGTGATAGAGCGCATAAGGAAAGAGAGAAGAATGAAGAAAAGAAAACAAGATGAAAACATGATTGAAACTAACGAGAACGAACGCGCCATTGTCTTGCAGTGGTTGGTACAAGTTTCCCGATCCATATATCATCGCTGAAAAAAAATTCAATAGTAAAAGGTGTCTTGCGTGCGAAACGTATTTTCTTTCACCGTGATATCTTTCATTTTCCTTCCTCGGTTTCGTTCAAAGACTGCTAGTTTCTTCTCCTTGTCTGTCTGTCGTCATCATGCTGAGTATGGAAATATCCCTATTCAAACCAGCGTTGTTCGTCGTTAAACGTTGAGATCAACGTTAATGTTAATGTTTCTTTTAGAAAGATGATATTGAAAAATTACCACTTTTTTTTTTTTTCGAACAGCGCTGATTTAAAATAGAAGAAAGAAAAGAGAGAGAGAAAAAAAAAAGAGATAGAGAGCAGGGTATTTACAACGAGAACGAGAGACATAATTTCTCGCGCGTCATTCAACGTAGCGTGCACAGTAAGAGAGTAAGAAATACGTGCAGCGTAACATCGAAAGTATCGTAATAATTTACAAGGCTTCGAGTACAGGTTGCGTCCAGCGACTAGCAGTCTTCCCAATAAGAATAATTCTACATTCTAACACGAATCCATGCAAACGACTACGTGCAGCTAATGATACAAGTTACACTACAGACGTGTTTCATTACTAGCTTCGAATGTCGCCAGTGTTTCATTCTCGAGGATCGAAGGATCGTCGAGAAACGTCGAGAAACGTCGAGAAAACGGGAAGGACGCGTGTTTTTCTTTTTTTTTTTTTTTTTCTTTTCTTTTTCAAAAGATTCCTATACAGACGTTTCGAAAATAACTTCGATTTTTCTTTCTTTTCTATTTTTCTTTTTTCTTTTCTACCTTTTTCTTAAGCGAGTAACGGAACACAGGCTGCGCGACAGTTGAACTCGTAGAAAAGACAAGAAAAAAAAAAAAAAAAGAAAGAAGAAGGAACGCGGGTGTACAATGTTGCGCTCGAGGAAAAGGTTGGGTTACCTCTTGGCTCGTGGCCGTAGTAACTCTCATGATGGCCACCTGAAGAGGCAAGAAGAAAGTGTCGAGTGTTAGTTGACGGAATTGGGGCTCGTTAGAGTTTTCAAGTGAGCTAGAAACCTCGACCTAGCCATTCAGGCCTAGAAGGGGTTAGGATGGATATCGGTAGGATTTAAAGTGGTGGTGGACGAGAATAATGAGATGATGATATGTCGCGATTATAGATAACTCGTATCGTTGAATCACACGATATGATGATACATAGTATAGGACGTCTGGATTTATTCTTTTCGTCAATTCGTGTGTCGAATGGAGATCGATACGCAATATATCTCCCTTTGAAAAAAATGAAACAATCCAATTATCGAGATGTGTGTGAATCGATTTTAAATACAAATACTCTACCACCTGATGATCGATATCAACCCTAACCGGACCATTCTCCGCGATAATGAAACTCACGTAGAATATTTGTACTTGGAAACATTCGGCTACGAAGTCAGGGTGGGTGACGAACTCGAACGATTTTTCTCACGGGCCGAGAATGTCATCCAACTTGTCTATCATCTTCGATCGAAAAATGAGAATCGAGAAGCGACGTTCAAAATGACGAAACTAGAATTTCATTTTATTTTACAACAGTATTGTACGATGGATGAAGCGGACAAACATGCAATACGACAAGTAGAATCTAAAGTCTCGAATCTTCTCCATTCTCCTTTAATTCTACTGTCCTTTGCTCTCGGCATCGATCGAGGATAACAGCCTCCCTACAGCCTCCCTACGGCCCCAAAAATAAAAATTTGAACCACAAATTAACGACAAATTGACGAACAACAACAAAGAGTGTAAAAATCGAATTGTCAAGACGATGATGGGGCTTTGGAGAGAGAAAGTAAGGAGGTAGGCCGCCAGTTCGTCACCCCAAGGCTACGAGATAATGTATACGATCCCCGACGATAATGTATACGACCATAATCGAGCACAATCGCGTCGAGATAAACGTGGTACCTGATGTGACGCGGGGTGTGAGCACGTCGACCGGTGCATCCGGTGCAGGAATAGGACGTGGCACGGCCGGGATCACTTGGGGATGCGTGGCCCTCCAATATGCTTCCAGGTACTCTGCCACGTGCTCGCAAGCCTCCTCCAACTGATTCTCGTCCAGGATCACGTCGAACATCTCGGGCGGGCACTGGGCCAGCTTCTCGGCGGCCACCATCTGCACGTTCAGGTGTCTGATCTGCGACTTCCCCCGCGACTTGATCAACCTCTGGAGCACTTTGGGCGAGGAGATCTTCAGGTAGACGATCGTCGGCGCCAGACTGGTCTTCGCCAATTGAGACGGGTGATTGATCGTGTCGCAGTCCAACACTACCAACTGGGTGGTAGGGAATTGTTTTAAGAGGGTGATTACTTTCTCTTTCCAGGGAGTGAGATCGAAGGGGTTGAAAAAGCGTACCTGAAGGGTTCTGGCGAGCTCGAAAATCCTCTCGATCTCGGCCTGAACCTCGGCCAAACAGCTGCTCCTGCTGGTGGATCGTTCCATGATCGCTCGTTTCGTTGGATTGTTGAGTAACGATCTCTTTGCCAATGAAATGTCCGCCATTACCCTAGTGATAATTATTCTGAAAATGCGTGGACGATTAGATTTTACTCTTGTAATGGTGGAAAGAAGGAAGGAAGATGTACGTACCTGCCTCGGAACCTGTGCTTCAAGTAATCGAACAACGCCTTCTGCATCATATCCGTGACCTGATAACCCTTCAACGATGGACCGACCAACACGACAGGCCTCATGGATGGTACAACGTCGTAAGGCGTGGTCGTTTCCTGAAATCGTGACGGGGGAATGAGCGCAGACCGATCGAGAGGAGGTCCTGCACGCCAGGATCAGCCCCAAGATAGTCTCTCACTTACGTAGGACTTCGTGAGCACGGAATGCAACATTGAAAACATTGAAAACAGTTAATGGCCATGTCGACACGAGACATACGACCTATCCTCCTGCACGGCCAAAGACCTTTCCTCTTCTCGTATCCATCATCATCATCATCATCATCATCATCATCATCATCATCATTATCGTCATCGTCATCGTTATCCAAAGGCACTTTGGCCAAGCAGTGTGTTCGATAAACTACCGATCATACCTAAGCTATCAACGATCTCCTACGTACTAAAGTAATCGTAATCTAAAAAGCTAATTCTATCTACATTCTCTTCGTTGACGAATCATTTTCAACGCAAATGTAAACTGTGTTTTCTCTCGTTACGAATCGTCATGGACGAGATCGTCCTACCAACGATGGTAAAAAAAAAAAAAAAAGATCGATATTACACTCGATATTATCCAATCGATGCTAGAAATCTTTACTCACATCGATCACACTTGAATAAAGAGGAACATTTATCGTGTTCACGGAGCAGCCAGCTGATAAACGCGTGGAAACTGATCGTGGAAATTATTAGATAAACTCTTCTGCTGAGAGTTGTACGCGCGACTCTGAATGCTCGATGATGTTACGATCTCTGTCCTTTCTTACTTTCCTCTTCTTCTTCCTCGTTCGACGAATATCACAACGGATGCACAGAGAGAGAGAGGTTTCGCAGTATCATACACACAGTCGCATACTCACAGAAATAAATCTGCTAGTCCTCGCGTGGTCCACGATATTTTCTAGCACCGACAGATAAATTTAGACACGTAAGCCTCGTCCACGTCATCAAGTTTTATCACATCGCACACGACCAAATCTTTGCCAAATCGACGAAAAATTTTGATCGGTATTCGTCCAATTATTATACTTGTTGGTCTATCGAAGGACGAACGTTTCGTGAAAACGTTGGACGAGACTTGAGATCTAGAGATCTCTATGGCACTTTCGACGATTATCGTATATATATATATACTAGATATCCAAATGGGAATCGAAGCGATCACGATGTCGAGTGTATGTGTGTACACATAAAAAAAATAAAAAATAAAAAAAAAAGGAGTAGTCACAGACATCGCGATTCGACTGTCGAAATCGTTTACCGGCTTCTTGAAGAAGTTCTTCCTTTTCTCCTTGGCCGGTGGTGTGGTCAACGTTGCCTTACCGCCCCGCACGCTGTCGCTGTCGTCACCTGTCGAGAAAAAAAGAATCGCTCGAATTAATCGTGGAAACGATCGCATCCTTGGTCGTTATCGTGCATCGTTAAATGTCCCTCTTTCTCTCAAGGAAAATTATGTTATGTATTTATGTGAGAAGCGATCGAATTGCGTACTAAGAACCTAAGGATTCTAATTAATTCGAAATATATGCTCTCGATTGATATGCTCGGAGAGATCGTGGAAAGCGACTAATAATGAGCTTCATTTACAGCGGAGAATAGTAATAATATACATATGATGGAGAGTATAGTTCGTGTAGAGAGCGGTGATTGCCGATGGATTGGATCGATTTTCGTTCGAATCTGACTGAATTGTGAGGTGGAGCGAACATTGTCAAGCGTGTGATCGTTGACTTGGGTGCTGCGTGGATCATTGACGAACGGATTGCCGATCAATTTTTATAAAATGTTTCCCAAAGATTTGTCAATAATTCTTATCAGAAAAGAAGAAAGTCAGGATTCAGCTAGCATCTTATCAAAGTTTTCAATGACCAACGCAACGCGAGTCAAAACTTCCTATAATCTAATTCGCGAAACTCGATCATTTCTAGTCGAGGATCCACCTCGATAACTAAAAAAAAAAAAAAAAAAAAAAAGGAAAGGAAGGGAAAAACGAGCAAAGAAGAATGGCGAAAGGTAAGAAAGAAGCTCGCGACAGCGATGCGTGTGGAAAGAAACGAAAACTAATCGAGTGTATTTGTATTTGTTCAGATACTTAGGGCCAACTCTTTCGGGAGATTTTTTTTTTTTTTTTTAATATTCGTATTTTTCTTTCCCCGTCATTTCGTTCGTTTCTTTTCTTTTTTATTCTCGGTCTCTCTTTTGTTTTTCCCTTTTTCTCTTTTCTCTTTCCTCTCGCTGTTATTTTTTTTTTTTTTTTTCTCGTTTTGCATATTTTTGCACGACCGAGGATCTCTCCCTCCTCGTCGTCTGTTTTCACTGTCGGATCATCGATCGGTCGAGGAGAATTCCCGTACAGGTACACCGGTGGTTTTCGAGGGGCGGAAAGAAAGAAGGACGTGCTAGGATACCTGGTGTAGGTGGTGTGGAACCACGTGAGGGCATACCACTCTCGCCAAGGTTCCCTGAAGACCCTCCACGCGCCGAGTAGAGACCCTTTGTACCACGTGCAGCGCTCGCCTGCTGCCTCAGGGCCTCCAACTTCACCGGGGATGGGATGAAACCGACGTCCGAGTTCTCTTTCACCAGCCTGCCTATCCACCAGTTGTTGTCGTACTTCTCCTGTACACAGTTTCGTACGTAAGATTACTTTCCTCGCTCGTCAGATCTTTAGATTTTTATTATTAATTATATAGATTGTATTGTATTAATTGGAACCACATTTGTAAATCGTTATCGAGGATTTTTGAATTTCTAAAATATTGGAATATTTTACTAACGATAATTTTTATTATATCTTTTATAGAAGATTGATGCAAGAAGAAAATAGGAAAACAGGAAAACGTACCTTGATGTGCAGGAAGTCGCGAACCTCGAAGCTGACAGCCGAGCCATGGACCGGCGAATCATCATCGACGGATCCGTCATAGCTCACATTGGTCCGCACTGCAAACGCTACCGGTTTCGTCTGAACAATTTACAAAAATTATCCTATTATTAGGGAGTAATTTTGCAATATTTTTTTTTTTTCAGATTGAAAGGATGGAACGGATTGAAAGGACGGTGTGTGTAAAAAAAATTGTTCTTCGAGGAGTATAGACGGTAGAGTTTAGGGTGAGAAAGATAGTTTTATCGTTGGCATTATCGATTTTTTTTCTTATTGGGTCACGTCGCATAATCCATTATACCGTGACGATACTCCGTGCAACTGCAATTTGAGCGTAAATGCCGATCAGATCATGGATGATCGGTACATTGTCGACAATGTACCACGTGACAAGCTGACGAGGAATAAAAGCGTAATAAACCGATAGGGTTGTCGCGATGCGCCTCGAAGGTCGTGGCTTAGTTAATCGATATTCGTTTATTGCTCGTTGGAAAGTGATTCGACCGATCGGTGATGTGTAATACGTTTCGATGGCGTATTCTTCATAATTCAATTCGTACCGCTCCAAATACGTTCGTTTCCTCGAAAATTAACACCGACGCAAAGATACCGAAGAGTACGAGTAACAGGATCGATTCGGAATGTTAATTTATTTCTAGAGAATTGGAAACGTTGGAAAATTTGGATTACTTGGAATACGAACGAGATCGAAAATTCGAACGTTTGAATAGTCTTCTCCGATCTCTCAGCTCCCCTTTCGGTTTGAAATGTCATAAATCAACAGCCTAACCCAAGAGTTCGTCGACACAGAGGTGCGAGAGTATTGGCCAATCGTGCACGTAACACGGAGCCAAGAAAGAAGAGAACGATGCCACGGAAGCTTCGAAACAACGGTCGGATAATTGCCGACTTCTAACACGATCTATCATGAAAGGGAGGGAGGGTCTATAATTAGAGGGCAATAATATCACGGATGGCGATATAATGCATCTGCATCCATTGTCGAAAAACAAAGGATCACGCGTTAATTCGATTTCGTCCTCCACGATGAAATCTCATTAGTCTGGCGCGCTTATTCATTGACACGCTTCTCATTCCTTGGGGACAGAGAGAAGGAACACGATAGACGATGACGATGGAAAGTTGTTCGATCGATACGAAACGATTTACGAAAGGCTTGTGGAAAAACAAACTCGGGGGTGGAGAGAGAAGAAAGGAGAAAGTGAGGGATAGAGAGAGAGAGAGAGAGAGAGAGCGATGTGAAACTAGAACATGCGAAAGATCAATGACTTACCCTGGCTTTTTCAAGTTGATTGAGGGCCTGCCTCTCCTTCTCACGACGCAAGCTCTCTTTCTCCTCGTCCAGCGAGAGATCCGAGCTCGGCTGTGAGTAGTTCGAGTCTGCCGAGCCCTGAAAATACAAAGCAAACTCGTTTAAATTGCGCCTCCAAGCGGCTCGCATTGTTGCGTTTATTCGGATCGTTATCGAATCGAATCGTTTCGATCGATATAACGTAATCGATATCTCTCCTAATGATACGTTTTTGATCTTTTCTTCTTGGAAGAAAACGTATAACGTAACACTCGTGAATTCTCTTCCCCCTCCCGTCCTTTTCATTCCAATTTTATTTTATCGACATTATTTTTCGTTATTTATCATTGAAAATTAGAGTTGAAGTGAACGAAACGAATTCTTGGATGAATAATATTTTCCACGTATTATATCGTTATATAACGATTCGTGAAATTTAAATGGAAATTGGAGATAATTTCACAAGCGAGAATTTCAAAGTGGCGAATTTCGTTTCTTTGTTACTCGACGATCCCGTCCAAACGTTGGCAAGTACGATTCTGAGTGAGATTTTTCATCAAGCTCCTGAGAATTGTGTTCCTGAGAATTGCAAGGAGCCGTGATATTTTGCCCACCACGGAAACCTTGGAGAAGTACTCAAGGGTTTTGAGTGTCGGGGACCATTAGCTCAAAAAAGAAAAGTTTCGCCTGTTCTGAAGCGACTATCCTCCCTCTGAAGAGGCTACCTCTTTGCAAACATCTTAAAGCGCTAGTTTGCGATGGTTTGTCGGTTCGAAATCGAAGTAAATCGTTTTCCCTGCAAATAATAAATACGAATTTTGAACGCGCTCGTTTCGAAATTCAATCTGGTGATTACTTTAATCTCCGATTCCTTCCAATTTCGTTTAAATTCGTATCGATTACGATCTGGAAAAAAATCGATCATCTCCAGCGAAATAAATAGCGAGCAAGCGAGTGAGCATCCGGGGACACGGATGTGGATCGTATTCGATCGGACGATACATTTTCGAAGAATCTTTTCGTCTCGCCATTTGGAATAATAGGATTAAATGCGATGCGACGACGACGACGATGATGATACAAGTTTCAAATTGTCGTATCCTCGATATTTCTTATATCCTCTTTCGAAATATTACGCGGCGTCAAAGACAAGGGGCCTGCCAAGAATCTCCTCGAGAAGAGTTAGAGATCCGTCAATCCGGGGGATTCGGGACGGATTCGAATGCTCTCCTTTTTTCTTTCCTCCCCTCCCGATTTCCCATCATCATTTCGAACTATAGCCTCCCCGTTTTCGAATCTCGATGTAGCGTATCCCCAAAATTAGGCGTCGCGAAATTTATGACACGTTTATAATTCACCGTGGCCGGTTGAGCGCAATTTCTAGAATAATCGTTGCGACGATTGGGCAAACGACGACGACGACGACCGAGAATTATCGACGACAAAAATTAGGATTCTATCTATATACGATACTACGCCGCGCAATTCGTTGCGTCACCACGCGAAACGTCCTGGCAAACGATTCACGGAGAACGTTACACGGTTAATCGCAACCACGGTTGGCGACAATGCGTCAGGCCTCGTAAAAAAGGATGCTCGATACGCTCGATTAATTCACCGTGCGAGGAATTAATTGGATCGATCCCCGATGGAAGACGATGGTGTCGATGCCGTGGCGTTCGAGCTCGTAGCGACGGGAAAGTAGAAAACGAGACACGTTGAAATTCTCTCTTCGTTGGGCGAATCGAGACAGAGAGAGAGAGGGAGAGAGAGAGAGAGAGAGACGCAATTTCTAACAGTTTTATCGATCCCGAGTTACGAGCGACATTGATGTATTGATCCACTTTTCAAAGTCAAAGCTTTTACCTGTAATTAGATACTTAATTAAATGCAAAGGATGCTCGGGTGTGTGTATATGTGTGTGTCGCGCCACTTGGACGGCCAGAATTTGCATTTCGACGGTGTTGCATTCGTCTGGTGTTGTACAAAGAGGTGTACACGAAACGATTCGTTGCTACTTCTCCACTTTCTCACCCTTAAAAATGAATTTTTTTTCCTTCTCCCTCTCTCTCTCTTTCTCTCTCTCTCTCTGTCGGGACGATGAATTCATTCGTTCGGGGCTTGTAACCATGCCAACGGCCTTTACTTAATCGTCTTTCTCTTCCTTTCTCTCTCTCTCTCTGTCTCTTTCTCTCTACCTGTTTCCCGTACGTGACTGTATAAACTCGTCTATGCGTGCCACCACGACCTTCTTCGACCCTCTTGGGGATCACGGGGACGGGAATTCTTTCGAACAATCGTATTGCGAATTTTTAGACGAGGAATTTTGTATGATTGGATAACACAGAGAAGAAATATAGGATATTAGGAAATTTTTCTATTCTAGTTAACGTGAATTGAAAAATGAAATAGCGATAATGGTGACAAGTGGTTCGTTCGTCGAAAAAAAATAAAATAATAATAATAATAATAAAATCGAAGAGAAACGAAAGATCGAGTCGAGTGAAGTTTCGCTCTCTTATAATTAATACAGAATTGATAATGAAAGGTGATAATAAACCGATAAATGGACGAGGGAAGAAAGTGGAGAGTGGAATAACGCAATTTTAACGATGAATAAGTGAGAAGAAGTGAGAATAGATAAATGATAAAGTTCACCGGAAGAGTGGCGGAGTAACACGTAAACGGAGTGAAAAAAAAAGAAAGAAAGAGAAAAAAATAAAATCTGGACACGGGTAAAAGTGTAAAAAAGATAGAATGTCTGTGAATAGGACGTGGAGGAGCAATGGAGCATACCACGGGAACGCTCGGTTTCACGCTCAAAATGTAAACCGGATCGATTTAGATTGCAACGTAAAGGATCGAGGCTGTGCAACGATGGCACGGCTGGCCGCTTTTATTTCACGCCAGGCTGATTAATGTAAAACTTCTGCGACGCATCGCACGCAGTGGAAAACCCTTTATAAAACGGAGAAAATTGATGAAGACGCCGCCTGGTAGGCGCCACGTTCATCCCTTGCAACTAATTTACTTTGTGTAATTTACTAAGGAAGCCAATTCATTGACACTCTATATCTGAAATCTGCCCCCTTCCGTTACAACCATTATCCTCTTATAATCTTATCTGTATTTGCATCACATGTAATAGAAAAAAAACAACAACAAAGTAAACTAGGTAAAGTAGGAATTAAAAAAAAGATCGTTCTTCTTCGAGGAATATAAACAGAAGATGATCGTCCTATCATCAAATTATCGCGAGAATAATACAACGTTCGTGCAATCTTCAATTTAACCCGAATTAAACGAATTCATTTGAATTTCTTCCAATCCCTTGAAAATTAACGAAAAATTAATACAAACAGAAGTAAAATTTCCAAATATCCTCCCCGAAAATCAAAGTACCAAGAAGAGTGTATAAATTCTGCAAAGCTATCTTCCGCTAAAATTAAATTTTCAACGATCGAAAATGAAACTCTAAAGTATCCTTCCTGAACACAACACAAAAGATTATCGGAAACACATTTCCCTGGTGGTGAATACCTGCGTGAATAGCTTGTTGTAGCCGGAATTGTGTTGATTGTATCCGATCATCGCCGGAAGGCAGGGCCGTCGTCGCCGGGGCCGGTTGTTCGAGTGGCTTTCACCCACTTCCGGGCCCTTCGACTCCAAGTATTATGGCCCAGTTTCGTTCTCCCTGTGGTAAACTCACTCTCCGCCAACCACACGTTGATCCGCTAAACTCTCGCTATTCTACCACACGCTACCGCATTGCGTCTTTCTCTCCTCCGCCCTCGGTCGGTCGCTTTTCACCAAACTGAACCTCTGACTGAAGCACACAGTGCTTGCTTGGAAGAAGTTACGCGCGGCGCCGCTACGCCATGCTGGCCGGCGCGAGTGTCACTCCGCGGCTTCCCTCAGGCGTTCTTCCACGACTTTTTCCGCTTCCGTTTGCAAGCCATCCAAACGCCACGCGTTTTACTCGCGGCACACGTTCATCGCGCCTCGGCCACCTGGTGCTTCGACTTTCGCGTGCATCGCGGGTTCCTGCGCGAGGCGAGCTCACTCTTCCACGATACCCTCCTCGTGTACACCCTCGAGCACGCTGCTGCCAAGAGGATCGTTCCGTGAGAGGGGAAAATGGGGTTTGGAAATGGAAACGAAGCACGAACGCAGGCAAACGCAGGTTGGATCGAGTGGTTCGAGACTCGTCGAATCGTGATTCTGCCTCGATGGATAACCAAAGTTTCTTTTCTTTTCGCGTAATTTAGTAAATTTTTTTCTTCCATTCGAATCGTTCGTTGATAGCAACGATATTTTAAAATATTGCCAAAATCTCGTTCCTCGAATCTTTTCGTCCACGATCCAAAGAGTATTCCTTCTTCCTCCAATTCATTCTTCAGATTCGTTCCAACTCTCATTCTCCGACACGAGGAACGTTACTCGAAAACTCGAAAACGATCAAGAAGAGTTACAATCACCTCCAACTCTGACCCCGTCTGCCTCTCTCGCACCGATCCATCCGACGACGGATCGTCCAATATAGATTTACATCCCTTTTCTCGGTGCCAGACTGGCGGTCGTTTCGTCGCTGCCACGAAATATGCTGATATAATTGCTCTCGAGGATCTTAACGAGAAAGGGTGAGCAACGTCTTGGTCCGGACACGACTTCGACCTCGACTAACGACGACTGCCACCACCGTTAATTACATCGTAGCAATTAAAGTAACGACCAGGTGGATCTACGCCGTTGTCCCTTCCTGCAGCATCCTCGATATGCTCGATTTGAGATCGGTCCCGGAGTCTGATCACGTATAACCGCCTATATATATCTATCTTCAAGCTTTTTATCTCGTGGCTTAAAAAAAATCAGTTTAAAACCGACATTTCCATCGAGTATCGAAATCGAATTTTCAACGTCCACGAGGATTTATTATGAACAAGATTAAAATATCGTTCGAACGATGGTTATATAATTTAAAGATGTGCAAAGTTCTGATTATGTGTCACCCCGCGGATCGACCCCGTAACACGGTTAATAGTCGAGGATCGAGAGATCAAGCTGGTAAGGCTTCGATTATACATGCGGTCACGATCAGAGGATCGTTAAGAGGATTCCAGTTTTACAATAGGATGGATGGAACGCAAATTCCTCTTACAACGTCTTGTGGATAGAAGTGGAGAAGAGAAAATAAAAATTAGATTATATTAAAGGGAAAAAAACATTCTTTAGAAAGGAAACGTTAGAGAACTGTCTTTGCGATTCGTTTGATCGCTGTGAAATAATTAATTAGGCTCGTTATTATTATTGGAGAGTACGTGGTATTCAATTGTGCATTGATTAAAAACGCGATAATTCTTTCCATCGAAAGAGAAAGAAAGAAATTCTGTTTGGAATTGTCGGAGGCAAGGGAAGAGGGCAATCGATTCCGTTGACCTCTTTGCAACTATGTGTGTCGTTGGAGTGCGCTATCCTTTTGTAAACAGTGGACGATTATTCGAAACGGGAAATTCACGACGACGAATTCATCATTCCGCGATAAACGGAACCACCGACAATTATCCTGCAATTATTACTCGAGGCGTTAAGAAGATCCGCGTGGGCAGAGGGTGAGAAGAAACGAGTTTCTCCGTCCCGCGAACAATGGCAGTGTCCTTTGAAGAATAATAGGCTCTCCTTATCCTTAACCGCGCACCCTTTTTGTCTTCCCCCAAATGCGAAGTAATTTGCGTCCCAAGATTTCACCCGCGATAAACACGAACGAGAGGAAAGCTAAAGAAAGTAAAAAAAAAAAAAAAAAAGAAAAGAAAAGAAAAGAAAAGGAAATGTAAGGAGAAATGCGAGGAGAAAAATGGAGAACGGGGTTGTCCGAGAGCGTAGACGTTCGTTCGTCTCGATGGATACACTTGACCGGTTGCCTACATTCAGGAGTTTACGGGAAACTGACAAATCAGAGGGCCTGTAAAAGCGGAGGAGGACGCTCTCGGAAGCGGGTCAACGACATCGTCGAGTGGCGAGTTCACGTTCATTCGATCGACTCAGACTCAGTCGCGTTATCAACATTTATCGAGAAAAAAAAAAAAGAAAAAAGGAAAAGCTGCCTGCGCTCGTAGCCTATTTCTCTCTCTCTCTCTCTCTCTCTCTCTCGCTCTCTCTCTCTCGCTCTCTCTCTCTCGCTCTCTCTCTCTCGCTCTCTCTCTCTCGCTCTCTCTCTCTCGCTCTCTCTCTCTCGCTCTCTCTCTCTCGCTCTCTCTCTCTCTCTCGCGCTCGCTCTCTCTCTCTCTCTCTCTCTCTCTCTCTCTCTCTCTCTCTCTCTCTCTCTCTCTTTTCTACCCGGATCTTGTTTATCTAACGTCTTCTTCTAATCAACGATATAATGAATGTACCTGCGTTAGATCGTCTCGCGCGGAAGTAGATAAGGAAAACAAATATCAACAGCTTGGAAACGTCAAAAAGTGGCCTGGGTCGCGTGCGTGATACGCCGAGCCTTCCGGCACGACGCGTGTTCCCGACACAGATAAAGTAAAAAAAAAAAAAAAATCCACGTCTATCTTCGAGCCTCCTCGATCCTTGGATGGAACGTCTCGATATTTGGAATAATTATTCTTTATTTTTTCAAAATTTTTTCCTACTTATTTATTTCTTATCTTTTTTTATTTATTTTTTATTTTTTTACTTTTTATTATTTTTTTTTTTTTTCCTTTATTATTATTCGTAACACTGAACTCACACGGTCGAGTGTCGATTTCGAAAGGCACACGCGCGACTCGACGACGATGGGGGACGACGTATCTCCGCGTACTGACACTCTCTACGTTTCCCTACCGTCCCCGCGAACGCGTTCCTGGCCGGGTTTAGTTGATACATCGGCCCAAGGGTTTGCCGACTCACCCGCTCTGTGGCGCCACCGAGGAAGCCGGACGACACCCCCGTGACTATATCGATCCACAACCCCCTTCCTCCTCCTCCTCCTCCTCCCTCTCTCCTCCCGATCTTCGCCACCCCTGACCGACCCGCACGACAACGCCAGGCCACTGCACCCTGAAGGCAACGTGTCCTATCAAACCTTACGAGTACACACACAAGCGCGCACACACACGCTTGTGTGTACTATGGGGGTTGGAGGGGGTGGAGGAAGAGGGTCGTGGATCTGTAACGCTTGGTAACGCGTGTATATGCGCCGACCGCGATCGTAGTCGAAGATCGCGGAACCACGAGGCGTCTTCGACGCGGTCAAACGTTTCTACGACCGAAACTGTGTCATTCGGATGAATCGAACGTTTGCCCTTACGGGGTTGCCACCTCGTCTAGGAGGATCGGGTCTAGGAGGAGCGAAGGTTTTCCGCGTTTCCTTCGATTATTTAAGAATAGAATAGGGATTTTTTTCGGATATATATATATATATCTTTATTCGTTTATTCGTTTCGAATTTATCGAATGATTGATCGTGATATAAAGTGTCTTTTTTTTTTAATTAAAGAAAATTAGGGTATTAAAGATTACTTGTAACGATAAAAGTACGGATTTTTGGAATTTAACGTGGATAGTCGGATAAAGGAGGAGGAGATAAAAATCGAAAGTTCGATATTGATTTTGAATTAGTAAGGGAGAGGGTGTATAGAATCGAGCGATTAATTGAATTTTCGACGTTGATAACCCATCGCGAGCCTACTTTGCCAACAAACAGGATTGATTTGAGGAGGATTTCATATCGGATTGGCCGTGTTAAATATCGTCGTGGAATCCAATTTACCAACAA